TTACATGAACTTTGACATGAAACCACTGGTAGAATGGAAAATATCTAAATACACCAAATTGTGTGCAAATATACAACTATGTATAGTTACAATCAAATTAGCTGGTAAGTCACTACTCTCCAATGTCAGAAATACAAAAGTAGCTCTGCACGGAAATCACTGCGGCTGTTATACCAAGTAAAACAGCGCCTGCCCCTCGGCAGACTCCACTTCTAGGAAGAGCCCATCATAAGAAAAGATAGGGGTGAGGAGGATCAATATGGCTCCTTACCCCAACAACCACCTGCTGAATTAGATGAGAAACACTCCAATGCTATTTGGAATTTAAAAAGTAAAAGCTTAGGAATGACTTTGCCCATTTTTTTTCTGCTCATGATTTTGACTGCTCAGCCTCCATTCTCTGTCCTTCTGGTAACAGCAGCTGTTTTCCTTTAGATAACCTCTCCTTTCCCATTCACAGACCTGTTGTTCAGGTGAGGCTGGCTCCTTCCTATCTCATACCAGACTCCAAAAGAGAGCACATGACCAAAGCCTTGCCAATAGGAATATTTCACCCCTTGATTGCAGTGATTGGTTTAAGGTTGGGTATATGACCCAAGCCAGGCCAATGTCTGCATTCTCCAAGAAGCAGTGGGAAAGAAAAGAATTTTTCTTGTTACTAGCTGAGAGCTTCCTGGATTCACAATAAAAAGAGAGCCAACAAGAAAATGAAGCCAACACAGAAGAAAGCAGAAGAGAGAGGTGGAAAGAGTCTGAGACATAATGACTTCACCGAATCCCTGGATTCAGTAGCTGCCCTCAACCTCTCAATTACCGGCTTCGGTAAATCTCCAGGTTTTGTTTTTTCTTTTCTAAGTAAATTGGAATTAGATTTTTCTGCCTTTTGTAAACACAAGTGTCCTGACCAATATATCCATCTCCTCAACCCTGTTCCCTCCCCCATCTCCTCTATCCTTGGCCTTCCAGTACAGTGAAAGGGACACTAGGGGTCCGAAGACTGGTCCTGGGTCCACCACTTCCTTGAGCCACAACCTCTCTAAGCTGCAATTTCCTCATAAATAGAGGTGGAGCCTACATCTTTTCTATCTAATAGTGTTAGGATGGATCTTACCTTGAAGGGTTTTGAGGACCAAGCCAGGTCATTAATAGAGAAGCACTCTGGTAAACATATAATGTTTCAAACATAAAATGTAATTATTGGCTAAGTTTTAGAATTCTCTCGTTCCTCATTTTCGTTCTTTTGTCCTTCTTCCATTTTGTTAAATAAGAATATGAGTCACAATCTAAAAGGTTATGTTGGCCAATTGTCTAACTATTTTTATAAAAATTTAAAATCTTAATTTAAAAAAATACTGGCTTTGTAGAAAGTGGGAGGAATGTGTGGCTTAGTGGCTTAGATGTCCAGCAAAATAAGCTTTAAATCCCAGCTCTACCACTCACCCCAGCTGTGTGATTCTGGCCAAGTCATATAATCTCTCTGAGCTTCAGTTTACTAATATCTTCAGCAAGGATAAAATCGCCCAATTTTATGGATGTCTGTGACAACTGAAGCATATACAAAGGGTCTGGCAATAGATGAAGCTCCATAAATGGGAGGAATACTAGTGATCATTGTTATTACTTGCAAGAATCACAGAGACATAGGGTTACATCTAAAAGGTGAATGGGGCTGGAAGGATGAGCCAGAGGGACCAGAGACCACTATAACAGAAAAGACTGATGAGTCTCAAAGGCCTGAGCTGGCTGAGTCCAGAGTCCTGGAATCAGAGGGTCAAAAACAGCAATACTATTTCTTGTTCATAACTCATACTATGCCTGCTGCCCTAATAGTTTCTGAGACACTGCACTTTGAGCTCCTCAAGCTCCAGGTGTGTGCCTTGATTATTTGTGTATACCTGATCCTTAGCAAGCACTCAGTAAATGCTCACTGTGATTTCTGGACATGATGATCTCTTGTCCTAAAAGAAAAGCTGCCTCCACATTTTGGTGTTCATTTCCAAAGATTAGAAAACCAGACAAAGTCCATGATGAGTATGTACTTTTTCACTGGAAGAGAGACCCATAAGTCCTTTATTATGTGGCTAAGTTGGTCTCCCAAAATGTTCTCACACATCTCCAGCTCCTCTAGTGTCTTCAGATGTATGGGAGGTTAATCTTCTGGGATGTGTGGTTCAGACCAGTGTAGCACTGGCATCATCTGGGAGCTTGTTAGAAATGCAAATTATTGAAGCTAAGCAGTGCCAGGCCTGGTTAGTACTTAGATGGGAGACCACCTAAGGAAGACCAGGTGCTGTAGGTGTAAAAATAAACAAACAAACAAATAAATGCATGAATGAATGAATGAATGAATGAATAAATAAGGGATTGTAAGCTGACAAGGTCCTTGCTTGCAATCTGTGAGGTCAACCAAGTGTTGCCTCACCTAAAAAAAGAAAAAGAAAAAGAAATGCAAATTCTCAGGCTCTTTCTCAGACCTACTGAATCAGAGACTCTATGCATAAGACACAGGCATCTGTGTTTTAGCAAGAGCTCCAAGGATTTGGATGCACACTAAAGTTTGAAAAACACTTCTCCAGATAGGACCTTAACATCTTCATTTTTTAAAAGACATGCAAGTAAAATTTCCAGTATTTCCATGTTGAGGGGCAAGTAGAAGTTACATTTACAACCTAACTCAATCATGTGGCTTCATTTTTATGCTTCCTGTGGCAAACTTACTCAAAAATATTTGTTAAATACATACAATACAAAGATGAGTAAGATCACAGTGTCTGACAGTTAAAGAGCTTTAGTTTCTTTTCTTAAGGGATCAATGAGTCAGCTGCAGACTCTATATTGCCCTCTGAAGTGTATGTGGAGTTTATAAGAACTCTACATTTGTATTGCGCCCATTATTGATATTATGATAGACTGAATACCCATCTGCCATGGTTTACAGGGGCCAAACCTGCTGCTCCAAAGTACAGTAGACGACATGTGGTAAGAGAAGCCAGAAAAGTAAATAAAGTCCTTCTAGGATCCCCAGGCACTTTAGTCCTGGGCATTCAGAGGTCACGTGCGATCATATTTATGTGAATTCGAGGACAAAAAAGTATGATAGTAGTATAAAGTATAGATATAGCTGGTATAAACCATTGTGGCAGAAGAAATTTGAAAAGAAAGCTTATGTAATGTAATCAATCTTCCGATGTGTGTGACAACTCCCTAGACCTGGCCAGATTTTCTAAGTAGTATTCAGAAATAGTGAGTGTTTTTTAGGAAATTGACATACACAAATTACTCCACCCCTTCATACACTTGTGAAGATCTGATATTTAGTGCCAGATCCAGCATTTAAAAATTTAAAAGGAGAGAACCCTGATTAACTGTGTTTGCAAGACTTCCCCAACATAATAGATGTCAGGAGACAAGTATGACATCACATTATAAATAAATTTTTAATGGGCATCACTTTAAAAAATTAAAATTAAGATCAGCCTAGCTAAGCTCTTTTATCTTTTTTTAACAGAAAATTAACCAAAA